ACTCAGCAGGCCAGGCAGCATTAGAGGAGCAGGAAAGTTGATGTTTTGGGTCGGAGCCCTTCAGAAATGGGGAGGGGGAAGGGAGCTCAGAAATTAATAGAGGAGGAGTGGGGCTGGGCAAGATAGGTGGGATGGTGATAGGTGAGTGCAGGTAGGGAGTGGTGGGGATTGGTTAGTGAAGTGGGTGGGGCGGATAGGTAGGAGAGAAGGTGGACAGGTTGTGTTAGGTCAAGGAGGTGAGGATGAGAGGGAAGGCTGGACATGGGATGAGGCCAGGGTTGGAAGATTTTAAAACTGGTGAAATCCATATTCAGGCCATCAGCCTGTAAGCACCTGAGGTGGAATATAAGGTGTGGGTGGTATCATTGTGACACTGGAGGAGGCCCAGGGTGGACATGTCACCCAGGGACTGGGAAGATGGGCTAAAATGGTTCGCGACCAGAAGGTGTTGTCATTTGCCACATATAGAGCGTAGATGCTCTACAAAATGGTCTCCGAGTCTCTGCTTGGTCTCACCGATGTAGAGGAGGCCGCGTTGGGAGCAATGGATGCAGTAAACCAAGTTGACTAATGTGGAAGGTTTGTTTTGTGCCTTGAATGGAGGTGAGGGAGGCGTAGGGGCATGTGTAGCACTTCCTGCAGTTGCCGAGAAAGGTGCTTTGGATAGGTGGATGAGGGATGTAGGAACAGGGGAGGTAATCTACACTTGGATTCCCAGAGACCTCTGTCCGTTTAGAAATTTATTTATCAAAGAGTTTGTGACATTTTTCTTCCTCCCAAAATACAGTACATCCCACTTACCTATATTCAGGTTCATTTCTCAATTACAAGTCCATTCTATAAGTTTATTAATGTGTTTTTATGGCTGCAATTCTTAGTATTAGTTATGTCCCAACATTGATCCTTGTGGGCCACAACTTGAATGTTTTGTCAATATATGTAGTTACGTTGAACCTCTGTCCTGTTTCAGTGTTGCAGCTAGATTGCTATCTAATCTGCTACATGTTTCCTTAATCCATGTTTCGTGACCGTAGTCTATTACGTGTTTCCTATTTTCTTGAATAGTTTAAATCAGTACTCCAAGAGAAGTAGAGCTGTGACAATTCTGAGTTTGCTTTCCAGTTATTGGCTGAAAGTAGATTGATATTCTTTGAACCACAACATGACAGTTCTGATGTGGATCAAAATATGTAGCAGTTACTGGTATGTTTTCCCAGTTGTACTCCTACTCTGCTGTTTTATTCCACTTGTTTGTTGGCAGTTTGCTTTCAAGATCGTTGCATCTTCCTCTGCCCCAATGATTTTTGTTAGGGACTTAGAGACATGTTAAAGCTTTAAGTAAATGCACGTCTTTCATCCTTCACCCTTATGTCTGTTCGAGTTATAGTTGGGAAATCTTGATTAGATTTATTGAAAATTTCATAGAATCCCAAACTGGAAGCAGCCATTCAAACCTGTTGAGTCCATTTCACCCCTCCAAAGAGCAGTCCACCCAGACCCACTCTGTAACCCTGCATTTCCCATGGCTAATCCACCTAGCCTGTACATCCCTGGACACTATGAGCAATTTAACGTGGCCAATCCACCAAATGTGCACATCTTTGGAAGGAAACTGGAGCACCCAGAGGAAACTCATGCTGACACAGGGAGACTGGCTACGTGGAGTTTACACGATCGCTCAAAGCTGGAATCAAACCCAACCCCCTGGTGCTGTGAGGTAGCAGTGCTAGCCACTGGGCCACCCTCCTCTATCAAGCCAATCTGATGTGCGTGCTAGTGTTTATCCTCACATAAGCCTTCTCCCAACTGCTCGTTCTACTCCTCATCCTACTCCATCAGAATAACTTTTTATTTCTTCCTCCCACATATACTTAGCAAGTTTTTCTTTAAAAGCATCTACACTATTTGCCTGAGATAGTAGGAACTGCCGATGCTGGAGAATCTGAGATAATGAGGTGTAGAGCTGGATGAACACAGCAGGCCAAGCAGCATCAGAGGAGCAGAAGAAGGTTCTCGACCCGAAACATCAGCTTTCCTGCTCCTCTGATGCTGCTTGGCCTGCTGTGTTCATCCAGATCTACACCTTGTTATCTTACACTATTTGCCTCACAACTTCATATTCCCACAGCTGGTTAAGTAAATAAATGTTCGTAGATTGTCTGTTGCTTATATTGTTAACTGTTTCCCTAGTTTAAGATTTTCCAAAAGGTAACATATGTAATTCTATCCTATCAAACTTGTTCATAACAGAGGTGGGGTGGTGGTGTAGTGGTTTGTAGTAAATAGATGACAATGACAAAAGTGCAACACTTGTGAAGTAACAGGCTTTGGCATTTCTTGTGAGTAATTGTTATACTGAAAGGCTATTTTGGCACGACACACAACCAAATTTGAATTCCTTGACATGAATAACATCGAAATATGAGCAGGAATAGGCCATTCAGACTTCTGAGCCTGCTGTACCATTCATCATGATCATGGCTGATCATCCAATTCATAGAGTCGTACAGTATGGAAACAGATCTTTCGGTCCAATTGGTCCATGCAGATCAGCTGTCCTAAACTAATCTAATTCCATTTGCCAGCATTTGGCCCATATCCCTCTAAACCCTTCCTTTTCATGTACGCATCCAGTTACCTTTCAAATGTTGTAAATGTACCTGCCTCCACTACCTCCTCTGGCAGCTTGCTCCATACATGGATTACCCTCTATGTGAAAAAGTTCCCCTTCAGGTCCCTTGTAAATCTTTCCGTTCTCACTTTAAACCTGTGGCTTCTAGGTTTGGACTCCCTTATCCCTGGAAAAGACTTTGGCTCTTCACCCTATCCATGACATTCATGATTTTATGACCTCTGTAAGGTCACCCCTTAGCCTCAACTCAATAGCCTGTTCCTGTTTCTCCCCAATATCCTTTGATTGCTTTTGTTCCAAGTGCTATATCCAACTCCTTGAAATCATATAATGGATTTGGCCTCGACTGCTTTCTCTGGTAGTGAATTCCACAGGCTGACTACTCTCAGAGAAGAAATTTTTTCTCATCTCAATCTTAATTGGTTTAATCCATATCCTTCGACTGTGACCTCTGGCTTTGGACTCCCCCATCATTGGAACATCTTCCTGCATCTACCCTGTCTAGGCCTCTTAGAATTTTATTCATGTCTATGAGACCTCCTGTCATTCTTATGTACTCCAGTAATATAATCCTAAATTGGGGAGGAAATGGCCTAGTGGTACTTTCGCTAGACTATTAATCCAGAAACTCAGCTAATGTTCTGGGGATCTGGGTTTGAATCCCACCATGGCAGATTGTGGAATTTGAATTCATTTTAAAAAAAGGTCTGGAATTAAGTGCCTACTGATAACCATGAAACCGTTGCCGATTGTCAGAAAAACCCATCTGGTTCACTAATGTCCTTCGGGGAAGGAACTCTACCGTCCCAATGTGTTCTGGCCTACATGTGATTCCAGATCCACAGCAATGTGGTTGACTTTCAATTGCCTGCTGAAATGGCCTAGGAAGCCACTCAGTTCAAGGGCAGTTAGGGACAGGCAACAAATGGTGACCAGCCAGCGATGTCCATGTCCCATGAGTGTGTAAAAAAAGACTGATATAACCTTTTCTCATGTCAGCCTACCACTCCAAGAATCAGTCTGGTAAACCTTTGCTGTACTCCCTCCATAGCAAGAACATCTTTCCTCTGATGTGATCTTATAAAGGCCCCATAATTTTAGCAAGACAACCCTGCACCTGTACACAAATCCTCTTGCTATGAAGGCTAGCATACCACTTGACTTTCATGCCTGCTGTACCTACATACTTACCTTCACAACTAGTGTATGAGGATGCCCAGGTTTCTTTGCTCATTCTTTTTTCTCAAGTTATAGCCGTTTAGATAATCCTCCACCTTGTTTTTTGCTTCCAAAGTGGATAGTCTCATATTTATTGACATTAAATGGCATCTGCCATGCATTTCCCCCTGCACTGAGCTTGTCCAAATTGCTTTGAAGCATCTCTGCATCCTCCTCACAGCTCACCCTCCTGCCAGCTTTGTGTCACCTGCAAATTTAGAGATATTACATTTAATTCCCTACCTAAATCAGTAATATATATTCTGAATAGCTGGGGTCCTACGACTGGTTCCTGCTGTATTCCACTGGTCACTTCTTGCCATTCAGAAAAAGATCTGTTTCTTCCTTTGGAGGCAGCAAGAAGTGCAGATGCTAGAGCCAGAGTTGATGTTCCCTGCCTGCCAGTCAGTTTTCCACCCATCCCAATACACTACCCTTGTTCCATGTGCTTTAATTTTGCATGCTAATCTCTTAACTGAGACTCTGTTGAATGTGTTCTGAAAGTGCAAGTCCATTGGTTCCCCTTCATCAGTTCTGAGTTAAATCCTTGAAGAATTCCAGTAGGCTTGTTAAGTGTGATTTCCCTTTTGTAAATCCATGCTGACTCTGTCTAATCCTGCTGCTGAATAACAAACTATTGGGAAATTTAAGAAAAGTTTCAATAAGGTATAAACAAATTGGTTTATTACTGCAGCAAAGGTGTGTTAACAAATTATCTTATTGTGGCGGTAACAAATTATATTAGGTTGTGAATATGATTTTCACAAATTTATCATGTAATTGAAGTTAATCTATGTTTTTTATTGTGACTTCAAACAACCGTGTTTGCATGTTCACACTGTCTGGCAAACTGGCGCACAGTCATTGTTCTGTCTGATTTGACATTATCATTGATGAATTTATTGGCCTTGGTGATCTCTAGTTGGACAGGTTTATTGTGATTCGAGGCATGCAGGTTAGCTACAAGCTTGAATTTCTAAGAGATCAATTAAATATCTTGTGTCAGTGGAAGTAAATTCTAGTCTCCAAGCTCATATATTAAAACTCCTTATTGGGAAAATTTTTCGATGTTTAACTCTGGATTTGAGTTCTTGTTTTTTTTTATGATGTGGGTTTACCTTGGTAATTATTTTTCATTATTCACCTAAAGCAATGCCCCTGATTAGTGGGAAGATTAAAGCTGAAGCTCCAGATTTATCAATGCCTATGGATGTAGACCTGGACCTGTCTTCCACCTCCACCACAAGCATGGAAAGTGAAGTGTCCTTGCTGGAACCAGAGCCTCCTCCTTGTAAGTTGCAGTATGGCGAAAACTCAGTCCTGACGGCAATTTCAGAAAAAGAAAGCAAAATATCTGATCAACCACGAAAGGGGAGCTCTAATAAAAGTGTAAGTTGGTTAAGTACGCAACAATATTTGCAATTTCTGTAGTGTTCTGGGTAATTTTTTATTCACTTGTGGGAATGCTTTGGCTGGGCCAGCATTTATTGTCTATTCATAATTGCCCTTGAGAATATGGTGGTGAATTGCCTTTTTGACGGCTGTAAGTGGTGTGGTTGACCCACAATGCCATTAGGGAAGGAGTTCCGGGATTCTGACCCAGTGATGCTGGTGATATATTTCCAAGTCAGGATGATGAATAGCTTGGCGGTGAACTTGCTGGTGGTGGTGTGTTCTCATATATCTGCTGCCCTTTGTCCTTCTACATGATAGTGGTCATGGGTTTTGTCTAAAGATTGTTAGTGAATTTCTGCAGTGCATCTGTACTAAATTGTCCTGTTCACAAGGCTTCTGAGAAGTGTTTCCCTTGTATAGATGCCAGGCAAAACCAGAGTCCTCAATATGGCATGTGAGACTTCAGATCATGGAATAATTACAGCACAGAAGGAGATCATTTGGCCCATTGTCTCTGAGCTAAAGTGAGGAAACTAGAAAAGTTGAGATTGTTCTCTCTAGAGCAGTGTAGGAAATTTAATACTAATTCTGACGGTTTTGGTAGATTATGTAAGAAGCTGTTTCCATTTGCATGAGTTGGTAATCCAAGGAAAGAATTCAGAGATCTAAAGCAATTGCATAATGTTTTATTTTATCATTGTAGCTTATCTTTTAGATTGTACTTGACATTAAAGAACATTCTTTAATCACATGCAGCTCATCTGCTTTCATCCAGGATTTTGTTATCTCAAAGTTGACTTTTCTAATGCCTTCCTCGCTAGCCTGCTATCCTCTCCCTTCGTAAACTTGAAGTTTATGAATCACTTTATCATGACTTACACCAAGTTGCCTAACTCACTTGCTTTATGATATAAATTGGTTCATAGTTAAACAACACCTCAAACAAGCATGAAAAAATTAAATTCAAATCTTACCATGATTTCACCCTCAGTATTGTTTTTTCCTCACTTTGTGATATGTCTGTGATAACCACTTGATGTTATACGTTTGACAAGATGGAATCAATTTGGTTTGGGTCCACTCAGATTTTAAGAACATATGACATGTACTTGCTTTTTGTCCCCAACTTGTGACATCACTTTGCATCTTCTCTGTAGACAGTTTCACCCCAGTCTAATCTGCCTCTGCAGCCGCCTTCTTTGTTCTTGATCAGACTCTCATCCAATTTTCCTGCACCCAATTTGGCTCTGGAGCAAGCCCATATTCAATGTAAGAATGACGAAGTAATTTAATGGAAATGACTGATAATTTGCTTTCATCATGCTGTTAACTTCAATTACGACTCCTGTTGAGTTTTCCCAATGATATACAACGGTTCTAAAGTAAAATATAAGTTTGAATACAAAAGAATAATAATGACCTGTGCTTAGGGCATTGATTAAAATCTTAAAACACTAGCAGTCTTATTCATGTGGAATACTGAGAACTTCAAGCATACTAGTTTCTAAATTTAATTTTTTTTTCTTTATTCATTCACTGAATGAGGGCTTCGCTGGCTAGGCAGCTTTTATTACTCATTCCTAATTGCCCAGAGGGCAGTTAAGAGTCAACCACATTGCTGTGGGTCTGGAGTCACATGTAGGCGAGACCAGGTAAGGATGGCACTTTCCTTCCCTAAAGGACATTAGTGAACCAGATGGGTTTTTCCAACAATCGACAATGGATTCACGATCATCACTAGATTCTTAATTCCAGATATTTATTGAATTCAAATTCCTCCATTTGCCATTGCGGGATTTGAACCCAGGTCCCCAGAATGTTATCTGGGTCTCTTGATTAACAGTACAGCAATAATACCACTAGGCCATCGCCTCCTCTTAATTTAATTATTTAAACTAATTTAATTAGTTTTGCATTTATCTTGAAGCAAAGCAAGAGGTATTGGAATAAATATTAGAGATGCTGGAAATGTTTAGCAGGTCAGACAGTATCCAAGGAGACAGAAACAGTTAACATTTCAGGTGATAGATTTTGATATTTAGAATGCAACAACAAATTCATTTAGCTGTCACTGACATCTGGAAAGTTCATGCCACATGATAGCCGTGTGATCATTTCTAACGTGTTGAAATCTTTAGCTCGTTATTTTCAAATAAGACAGGAATAAATGGTCAGTTCAGGTACAGTAAATCACAAGTTTAGTTAAAATAAATATCAAATTTTGAGGAGTAAACTAATTTAGCTAATTTATTTCTATTGAAGTGAACAAAGATGCAATAAAGTGCTGTGCCACTTTTATGATGGTAACATTTCAGCACCAAACAGGAGTGATTCATTTTCTCAAATATGGTTTAGAAATGGTCTGTATTTCGATGGAGCATTATATTTTAACAATTGCTTGGCAAAAGTTGAAGAATGGTGTTCGTTGCTATTGTTCATGTAGTCTAATTCTGGTATGTTTTGTTAATGCAGAAAAAAAGGAAAAAGAAAACAAAGAAGTTGAGTGGAGCTGAGATGGAGTCCTCTGCTCCTCAACTCAGGCACTTGAGTGAAAATGAACAGAAGGACATTGAACAACTCAATAAAATTGACAATGAAACTGAACAATCCGCTGTTGGCAATGAAACTGGAAGTTACTCTGGCAGCAATGATTTGATCAATGACCAAAACGCTGTTTGTAATATTACTAATCTGCAGGTTGCTGCAGATGATGAACATCCTCCAAACTCAACAGGTATTGAGGAAGTTCCAGCTAGTTGTGGTCCAGTCGGAAATCTGGTAAATCTACGCATTGTAGCATTCCAAAGTGGCATAACTGATACGAACAAAGATGGCGCAGTCCAATCTATTACTGAGAGTGATCCGCTTCACCCAAACAAGAGTAACAAACCAGCCTCTGCAGTGAATGAAGGATCATTAATCATGGAGAAATTGAGCAGCAGGAAAGATGGCACTCAGTCTGGAAGAGGAATTACTCTCGACGAATCTGAATCAACGTTGACTAGTGCTGACAATAAGCCACTTCATACATCTGACAGTGACTCAAGTAGTTCTGTTGAAGAAAATAATGATCAGTATGACATGAAGAAAGAAAAGGACATTCTACTTACTCAGGTTACAATTCATTCTCACTATTATTTATGAAAATAAACTATTTTAAGACTATCTGGTGTTTAAATAATAATAATAAATCAATAGTAATAATAAATCAATAGTAATAACCTAAATTATCTTGGCACACCAGAACTGTTGAGAAGTGAGACATTCTGCATTTTGTAATACTTTCCATGGGGTCATTGAGAAAGGAAATTCTAAATATCCAAATCATTTTTAAAACTTGTTTTTAATACTTTCTCCCCACTAACCCCTTTTAAGGCATGTTACCTGGATGCTGACATGCCTCTATATTTCAACGAATATCCTACTTTTTATGTGAGACAAGAGCAGCCTTTTTGTTAATTTAAATGATTCTGTGAAACCTGTATAACAATGGAGGAACATATTGAGTACTGACTGTTGGCAGGTTAATTAATTGGTGAAGCATCACTGACCAATCCAATCCTTTAGTCACACGATAGCTGCAAGCTTCCCTGTATGTGTCAATAGATAGAAATTGGTTGCCTCTCTAAGTCTATTTGAGCTGAAGACCTTTCCACTGGAGTTAATTATGTTAAATAACACAAAATGCTGACAACACTCAATAGGTCTGCACCATCTGTGGAGAGAGAAACTGAGTCCACATGTCAGGTCAAGGACTTCAAAGAAAGCTGGCGCTGATGTTAGCTGGTTCACTTGAACTGTTTTGATTTTTAGATGTATCCAAATTGCTCCATGGGTTATATGTTGAAAATTTCCTTGTTAGTCTCAAGGAAAATTGAATTTTAAAAAAATGCCAGAAATTTGAAACAGTAACAATATGCATAGCAGGTCACTTAGCATCTGTGGAAAGTATAGAATTACTTAATATTTCAAACGTAACCTATTAACAAAAATGAAAATGATAAAGCATATGCATAGAATCAGAACTCTCACTAGTAAACCCTTGAAACAAGGAGGATGTTCATGGTTCATGGAAATATCCTGTGCAAGGCATTTTTTAAACATGGAGAGCTCTTACATTGCAGCTGTCACATGGCTCTGACATATAGGCATATCAGAAGGATTTATACACTGGCAGTCTACGTGCTAGACCTTGGTACAAACACACCTTTATGGCCATTAAGTTCTGGGATGGGACTCGACCCTGGAGCATCTGCTTCAGAGAACAACATGTTACCCAATGTGCAATAAGGTATCCAACACTGAGAACAACAGGGAAGTGCGTCTCTCAAACTATCACCCGCTTATGCAAATTCATTGCAACACATGCTGACTGACCATAGTTTTTGTTTTGGATTAAAAGAAAATAGCATAGGAATTTTGGAGTCAGATATCTGTTTCCTAGCATCTATGTGGGACGTGTATAAATTGGAATTTGATAATGGTCTGATGCATAATATAGATGAGATATGGGAAGTTGTAACTAGATCCTATAAGCTTCATTGAGAAATGATGAGATACTTTGTTCAGAGATTGGAGATAACATTATTTAGTTTAGAAACCAACATCCTGTGGATTTTGCTAACTGAGTTGGAAAGCTGTGTTTTTATTAAGAAAAAGCAAATTGCTGCGAAGACTAACAGTAGTGAGCAACTGCAAAGGACACAGACACATTTACTGTTTCTGGTGTGGATTCGTTATCATTGTTCTAATGTCCTTTGTGCCATAAATTTCACCACATTATTGTAGAACATTTTTAAAGCTGTTTTTTGGGATGTGAAAGTTGCTGAAAGGGTTAATTTATTGCCCATACTCGGTTGAACTCATGTAAGTGGAATTCCTACAGCCCATGTGGTAATAAATCTCCCACAGTGTGGTTTGATAGGGAAGTCCGAGATTTGGATCAGTGGGCTCAGTTGATTAAATTGAAAGCCTACAGAAAATTGAGGTGGACTTTCTAATTTTCTCCCTTAATAAAGGTGACAGGAAAGGACTATGATAATACATTTTATTTAGAAAAAAAAGGATACTTAAGGCACTCAAGTGGTTTTATTAATGTTTCCCCACTTGTTAACTGGTTTATCTGTATTACACCCAGATGAGTGAAGTTAGCTGATCTGAGTTCAGAAAACAATTAGAAGGGTCTTCTTGTGGTGCAGTGGTAGTATGCCTATCCTTGAAGCGAGAGGCCTGTGTTCAAGCCCCACTTGTTCCAGAGGTGTTTAATAACATCCCTGAACATGTTGATTAGAAAAATAGGTCGGACAGCAATTAGGACTAACTTATTTTCATGCCTACAGTTATAGAAGGTATATTAGTTGAGTCCCTTGCTCCTAATTGCTATCTAGGAGTCTCTGCAACATTTTTGGCTGTAGCATGAATAGAATCAACGTACATGGCAGTATTCCTTAATGTTGAATTGTATGTCTCTTTGTTGGGAATTATACATCGAAATTGAATAAACTATTCTAGCATTTGTGCATTTTTAAAATTTTCTTCATTTTTAATACCATGAATGAATAATTTTAATCCTGGATGATTGGTTTGAGAGAATCACTTGGTGTTAATTAGCAGAGATCAGATCAATTTTTGGATACAGGGAAGACATCAGAAGGAAAAACATGCTTTACCTCATCCTCAACCAATCTACTAATTGCAGATGCATCTGTTCTTAACAGTATCAGTAGGACTGAGCATTGCACAGTCCTTGTAGGAATAGCTATCACTGAGCTAAATGGGACAGATTTAGAACAAATCTAGCAACTCAGAACTGGGTATCCATGAGGCATTTGTGTCATCAGCAGCAGGATTGTGTTCAAATACAGTTTTAACCTCATGACCCAGCAATTCATTCACTACTACATTAATATCAAACTGTGGGATCACACCTAGTTCAATGAAGAGTGCAGGAGAGCATGCCAGGGAAAGGACCAGGACCACCTAAAAATGAAGTTGTAAACGTGGTGAAATTACATTTCAGGGCTTCCTGCATAGAGCCAAACAATGATTCAGATCTATCTCTGCAGTTCTGCCACATCCAGTCATGGATGGCAGTGGGAAATTAGATAAATAAAAAGAAATGGAGGCTCCACAAATATCTCCAGTAATCAGGAAGCCCAAGTCATTGGGTCAGAATATACGGTTGAAGCATTTTCAACCAAGTTCAGCTAGAATTACAAAATGAGGATCTATCTTGGCCTCTTCCTAAGGTCTCTAACGTCAATTTTTCAGTCCATTTGATTGACTCCACATGAATCAGGAATTGGCTGAAGGTATGGATACTTTCTTTTATTCATTTGTAGGATGTGGGCTTTGCTGGCTGGACAGCATTTATTGCCTGTCCCTAGTTGCCCTTGAGGAGATGATGATGATGAGCTGCCTTCTTGAACTGCTGCAGTCCATGTGCTGTAGGTTGACTCATGATGCCCTTAGGAAGGGAATTCCATGATTTTGACCTAGTGGCAGTGAAGGAAAGGCAATATATTTCCAAGTCAGAATGGTGAGTGACTTGGAAGGGAACTTGCAGATAATGGTGTTCTCATGTGTTTGCTGCCTAGATGGAAGTGGTTTTTGGTTTGGAAGGTACTTTCTAAGGATCTTCAGTGAATTTCTGCTGTGGATCTTGTAGATAGTATGCATTGCTGCTACTGAGCGTCGATGGTGGAAGAAGTGGATGCATGTGGATGTGATGATAATCAAGCAGGTAGCTTTGTCCTGAATGGTGTCAAGCTTCTTGAGTACTGTTGGAGCTGCATCCATCCAGGCAAGTGGGGAGTATACCATTACTCTCCTGACTTGTGCCTTGTAGATGGTGGACAGTCAGAAGGTGAGTTACTTGCTGCAGGTTTTCTAGCCTCTGACCTGCCCACGTAGCCAATGAGATAATGCGAGTCCAATTGAGTTTCTGGTGAATGGTAATCCCCAGATGTTGATAGCGGGGGATTCAGTGATAGTAAAACTATTGAATGTCAAGGGGTGGTTGGATTGTCTCTATTTGGAGATGGTTATTGCCTGGACTTTGTATGGTACAGATGTTATATGCCACTTGTCAGCCCGAGCCTGGATATTGTTCAAATCTTGTTGCGTTTGAACATGAATTGCTTCAGTATCTGAGGAGATGTGAATGGTGCTGAGATTTGTGTAATCATTGGTGGATATCCCCACTTCTGACCTAATGATGGAGGGAAGGTCATAGATGAAGTAGCTGAAATGTTCTAATCTCACAGTATTTAATTTGGGAGGAAATTTAATCTTTGCAGCTGTGTGATCATGAAGGGATAGAGCTTTAAAATGTAAAGCATCTGTATTTGCTTTGATTAAATCTTTGCAGCTGTGTGATCATGGAGGGATAGAGTTTTAAAAAGTAAAGCATCTGTATTTTTTCTTTGATATTGGTGTTCCTTTCTATCTTTCACATTGTCTGATTCTGATATCTTTTAATGTTTATACAGAAAAGTAGAAAAAAGAAATCAAACAATTTAAGTGCAGCTATTCAAAGTAAAGAGATTTCCTCTGCTCTGCAACCCAAACCTTTATATTCGGGCAACAAATACGACATAAAAGAAAGCAACGAAGTTGGCATTGAGGCTAGGAGCTACTTTACCAGCAATGATTTGACCAGTGACGTAAACTCTGCTCGTGATATTGCTGATCTGCAGGCTGCAGTAGGTGATAAACATTCTCCTAGTTCAACAGGTACGGTAAAAACTCTGGACAGTCGTAATCCAATCAGAGGTCAGGTAAATACAGGCCTTGCAGTATCCAAAAGCACCATTGTAACTGCAAAGAACATGGATGGTGCTGTCCAATCTGTTGCTGAGAGTGACCTTTATTCAAAAAACAACAAATCAGCCTACGTAATAGATGATGGACTTCCCACAACTGAGAAACTGAGCAGTGGAAAAGATATTGAACTTGAAAGAGGAGACAATTTGGGTGAATCTGGCGCAGCAGCTGCTCATACTGATAGTGAGCTACTTGATTCAGCAGACAGCGACTTGAATAGTTCTGTTAAAGAAAAAACTAATGAGCAACATGGCATGACAAAGGAAGAGGACATCCCATGCACAAAGGTTATAATTTTACTATAATATATAGAGATAAGCAGTTTATGACTATTTAGTTTTTTTTAGAAAAGTGAATGTTGTTTCCAGTCAATGTATTGAAGCTAACAAATGTAGCTTGGCATACTAGAAAATATGTTGGAAAGAGATAATTCAGCATTTATTTTTATTTGTTCATTGGATGTGGGCAATTGCCCATCCCTAATTTCCCTTGAGAAGGTGATGGTAAGTTGCCTTTTGAACTGTCTCAGCCCTTGCATTATAGGTACATCCACATTGCTCTTAGGAAAG